AGATTAGAGACTCTAGGTTTATGTCACAGGTCGGGATGGCCCCCCCTGGCGCAGACCACCCCTGTGAGCGTACCACCTCGAGGAGTTACCCAGAGACACCACGAAACCAGACAAGGTATCAAATATAAAAAGTATTTTATTGAATTAAAATTCCCTAAACTAAAACTTGGTGTCTCCTCTTCCTGGCCGGCAGGGGTGTGCGACGGAGCAGGCACTAACAGTGGATACACGCAGCGGGGCCTCTTCGGGCGGCCAAAGGTACGTCAGGGAACAGACTCTTGCAAGGAATTTACACCGTCGTTCTCCTCACAGCCAGAGGCCAGTAAATGAGCAGATGCTTCTCAGGAGTTCACACGACAGTTCCTCTTCACACCACCAGGGGTAAGTAATGGAGCAGATGCTGATCTGGAATTCACACGACCGTTCCTCTTCGGGCAGCCAGGGGTAAGCAATGGAGCAGATGCTTGTCAGGAGTTCGCACGACAGTTCCTCTTCGGGCAGCCAGGGGTAAGTAAGGGAGCAGATGCTGATCTGGAATCTCACGACAGTTCCTCTTTGGGCAGCCAGGGGTAAGTAAGGGAGCAGATGCTTATCTGGAATTCACACGACCGTTCCTCTTCGGGCAGCCAGGGGTAAGCAACGGAGCAGATGCTTATCTGGAATTCACACGACCGTTCCTCTTCGGGCAGCCAGGGGTAAGCAATGGAGCAGATGCTTATCTGGAAATCGCACGACAGTTCCTCGTCGGGCAGCCAAGGGTAAGTAAGGGAGCAGATGTTGATCTGGAATTCTCACGACAGTTCCTCTTCAGGCAGCCAGGAGTAAGCAATGGATGAACGTTTCACGAATCCTCTTCAAGTCAACAGCATGCACATACTCATGACCGGGCTTTCTTCAGTGTGAGAAGCTCAATGGGCCGATACTGGTTCTTATTTGGAACAGGAGAATCGGTAACACTTTACAATACGGGTGCACTAATAAGCATTAATTCATGCTTAACTAATGCACAGATAATACTGAATTAATGTGTAACTAATGATTATCTAAGCTATTCGTTAATGATTACCACATTAGGAACTAATTAAGAGTCTGTATGGTTAATGTATTAGTTCATAAATGAATTGTTATTAATTAAATATGTAATTGTGAATTAATTCCCTAATAACTCATTTTTTTAACTAATAGTGTTAATTAATATGTTAATTACCAGAATGAGCAAAAGCCTTGTATTTCAACTTCCAGATAATACAGGTACACTAATATGCATTAATACATGATTAATTACTTCATTGTTAGTGCAAAGTCATGTGTAAATTACTACAATTACTAAATGACTAGTTAATAATGATGTGCCTCAACAAGTAAAGTCATAACATAATGATACCTTTGCAAATCATTAGCTAATGATTAATTAAAGCAGACAACTGGAAGTTGAAGTGCATAGCTTTGACTAATTGTGGTAATTAACACATTAATTTACACTATTAGTTAATAAAATAGGTTATTAAGGAATTAATACACAATGACACATTGAATTAATAGCAATTCATGTATTACTTAATCTATTAATCATATAGACTCTTTATTAGTTGCTGATGCAGTAATCATTAATTAATGGTTTAGTTCTTCATGAATCATACATTAACTCATGATTATCTATGCATTAGTTAAATATGAATTAATGCATATTAGTGCACCCGTATTGTAAAGTGTTACCACGTTTGGTTATGCAAATTAAAATTAGTAAATGAAACAATCGTATAGCCTACATTTTTTTTTGTAAGTTACCATTAAAAAAAAAAAAAAATCTTTTTATTGTGGCCAGCCTAATGCAGCATCTTGATATGCCACACATGTGAGGTGGATGGATTATCTCGGCAAAGGAGAAGTGCTCACTAACACAGATTTAGACAGATTTGTGAACACTATTTGAGAGAAATAGGCCTTTTGTGTACATAGAAAAAGTCTTAGATCTTTGAGTTCAGCTCATGAAAAATGGGGGCAAAAACGATACTGTTGCATTTATAATTTTGTTCAGTGTAGTTATAACTGCCTAAAAAACAAAACGGGGTTGAAAACCTATCTAAAATTGTTCACCATGGTCAATTTATGTACAAAATAAAGTTTAAAGAGTATAAACTAGCCTTTGTAAAATCACATACTGGCAACATATAAGTCAACATTTGAACCTTTATTGCATTTATTTATTTATACATTTTTTATCATTAGATACATTAGCATACTCGATTAAATTGAAACCAAATACTTACATTTAAAAGTGTCATCTGGCAATTTCGTCTATGGCGCGCAATACATTCAAGGGGCAGGCAAGGCTTCAAAGGATTCTTCTGATGGCTCCTGCATTCACGGGAAAAGGACGCTTCGAATTGGGAGTGGGACAGCCTATGGTGCTTCTCAATATCCCTCCTTGTTTCCTCGCTCCTCCGTCCTCCATCCTATGACCCGGAAACCGATCGAGCTCGGCCATCTTGAAGGACATCTCAATTCTCTAATTTTACCGTTAGGAGGCGAGGAACGAGGAGTGAGGAGGCTTCCAGAGGAGTCATGAGCGAGGATACAAAGGTGTATCCTTTGCGGAAGTGTTTTATCGACTAAACGTGACGCATGTATAAATTCTACTCCCCCTTCACTTCTGTCACAATAATTTTAATTTATTCTTTACCTTGCAGTTTAAATAAACCACACATCTCAAATATTTTTAACAGGGTATCTTGCTTTATTATTATTTATTCATTTCGTAAATAAACAAACTTCAACAACATAAGGGCAGTGCTTTGAGCGCAGCTGATGACGCTTTGAAGTGACGCTTGAATGATCAAGTATTCCAATGTATAAATAAGCTTTCCTTCAATTCCTCTGTCCTCCTTTTTTTGTCTTTGCAGCCTTCCCTCACATCCTACAGCGGGTGGAGCTGAGACACTGGGAAAGGAAGCACCCAATGAGAAGCACCCATAACTATTACACAAAGAAAGCAATAACATTTGACCTTTTGTTCAAATGAGTTGCAAATGTAATGTTATGCTCAGTTCATTTTTTAAACAATAATAAAACAAATCTTCATTTTATGATTTTTTTTCTTCTTTTTTAACAAAAAAAAACCTTCTCTAGAAATAAACTCAATTTAATTTCTTTTAAACCACGATTTTCACAGATTCAATAAAATCCAATGAAATACATGGACCTAAATAATATGGACTTTGTACTACATTTTCAAAATGACCACTAATCCAAATAAAATTGAGCCAAAGCACATAAAATCATTGATTTTCTTTTAAACCACATGACTTTGGAGAAGGCACATTGACCTTTCAAAAATGTCTGGTGTCAAATTGACCTGGAAGCAAATTTGACATCTATGAAAAATATGCTCATTGTATTTTTAACCTGTTAAGTGACGGTGGGCCCAAATCCATTACATTTTTAAAACAGTAATATCCTATACTACACCTAAACTAATCTTGACAAACTATATATCATTTGAAAGCTTACAATCTCAGTTTCCACATTTGGTGATTTTCAAAATAAATTATAGAGGAGCCGTAATTTATCAATTTGCAACAAGAATATTTTCATACTCCTAAGGCATGTTTAGACCTTTATTTTAAGATAGTGATGAACATGAAAAGTCATGAAAGAAGGGTAGAAACCTCAGTTTGTTTTCATGTCAAGAGTTCAAAAGTTAGCATCCATTCAATTATTTTAGAAAAAAAGGTCTGAATTTTTTTTTAAATATAAAGAAAAAAATTATATATTCACCATTTGTGATGTGGCAGCAAGCTATAACGCACATACTTGTTATTTTCAAAATCTGCCAAACTTCTCATATTACTTCTGAATAGGATGTCTACTTCATAAATTGTCATAAGATGTCATACTTCATGAAAAAGTTTGGTACTGCGCCCAAACAAAATCTTACTGAAAGCTCATTTTTTTGAGATATCAACCTAAAATTTGAAACACAACTTGTTCAGATTTTTGGCTTTGATTTTTTTTTTTTGCAGTTTTAGAGTCGCACGGGTTTCGAAAATATATATTTTATATAAAATATGAATACTTACATTTTTTATTGTACATTTTCATAAACTCAAACTTCTATAACTTTTTTTCTGTTTCACTTTCTTAATTTATTTCACTTCTCAAAAATCTGCCAAATGTCTTCTTTAAAACGAGACCAATCTTACGTCTATATTCCAAAGCATTATTGAATTACAACCATTTAAGTTTGAAATGTGCATTTTTCATGTATATAAAAAAAAGGGGGGTGACACTTATGAAGAATTGCTCATTGAAAAATTGAACGTGGATAAACGTGGATATCTTGAGTTAAAGAGTTTTCAAAATGCCTGTACATATTTTGACCCAATCTGTGATGTCTGGGGTTATTTTGACCCAAGCCTCTTTTTTTTTTGTGAAAAATAAAATAAATTATAGAATATTTTCCTGTTTTGTTTTACTTTTTCTGATGAATCTCTCTCATGATATTGCAAACTTAAGTAAATATCATTTATTGGTCAAACTTTTTCTCTATTTTACTATTATATGAAGGCCAAGTTTCAAATAGCTTTATTTCTCTACTATTTCATGTAATATTTTGTTTACAAACACAGGACAAACATTTTTTACAAGCATGTATCAATAATCATTGTTGTTGGGTTTTAGTGTTTTTCTTGATATTTCTTAGGTTAATTTCTCAATTATATTAAATAATTATTACAAATATTTTCAATCTGAGTAATTTATCATATATTAAAACATTTGGGGTCAATTTGACCCCACACATTAACAACATTGCTGAAATTTACACATAACAGGAGGGATGTGTATCCAATGAGAGCACAGACACTGGTTGTGCAATGATAGAAACTGATAACACCCGTTAATCCCCATAATAACATTCACTCAATTGCTCTTGTGAGACATTTGCATAGCAGAGCTGAGAGACCTAAATCTGTTCCTCACACAGGACTCACACACTCACCATGGAGGTACACATGCATCCTCTTCTCTATCTGCTGTTGTGCATGAGTTGTGCTGTTCAGGGAGATAACAATAAAAGGTAAGTATTACAAATATTACTATTGTTTATTGTTATTATCATTATTAATATCAGTAGTAGTAGTATAATTTTAATAACAATTAAAGCTGCAAGCAGCATTTATCGGGGTTCAAGCGGTTTAAGGCATTTTAGCACATGCGTAAAAATATATTGTGTTTTATTTAGCAAGCATGTAAACACTTAGAAAACTTAGGAAACCAAAAGTAATTTATAAAAGATCATATTAGAGATTCAGTCAAGAATCATTTTGTACAGACATAAATAATATATGTTGGATTGATGTTTATAAGGAAGTTCATCCTGATAATTCATTGTCAGCATTTGAAAGATTATTTTACCCTTTGGTGGTCAAACATGCACCTATGAAAAAATGTACAGTGAAGAATGTTATGGCACCATGGAGTGCAAATTGGAAATTATTTTAATGATGAAAAAGGGATTTTCCCTTTAGCTTGGAAAGATGCAAATGTTCCCTTTCGCAGTCACTTCGAGTTACGTCGAAATGGGGTTCGCTTAGAAGCCTCTCATCTTCGAAAGAAATAAAACGAGCCAATGGCAAGGAAATGCCATGGGTCTGCGGAATTTGAATGGCGTAACTCCGCCCCACCGTGTGGGTATAAAAGGAAGGACGCCGCAATATGCAGATTCACGAGTTCACATCTACATATAATTATTATGGTAAAGGTTATGCGTACTTGGCGTGCTGTCCGGGTGGAGGGCTCCGAGCTCGGAATTTCTGCCCGAACCCAGAGTACTCCCCCCGTTGGTAAGAGTAGATGGAACTAGAGATGGAACTAAAAAGTGAGGAGATGGGGTGGAGGTGGGATGCTGATAAACTGTCAAGGAACAGAGGATGGTTCTGCTGTTATTTATCTTGTCCTGAGTTGATTACTGATTGATCTCCACTTGTGCTGATTGGGTTAATTATCTGCACCTGCTCCTCCCGAACCTTGTTAATAAAACATCATTTCACGAGTTCACATCTACATATAATTATTATGGTAAAGGTTATGCGTACTTGGCGTGCTGTCCGGGTGGAGGGCTCCGAGCTCGGAATTTCTGCCCGAACCCAGAGTACTCCCCCCCAAAAAGCAAAAGAGCAAAAGGACAGCCGCCAGACTATAGACCCCCCAAAGACGCAGCGAATTTGGCGGGCTGGCTTTTCAATAAGCTTGATCGCTTGATCGGGATATCTCCATGGCGTTAACGGGTAAGTCCCGCTGACCCATGGACGGGGAGCGGCGAGAATTGGAAAACGGCTGACCGGGAGGGTCCATGTAGCTTCTGACGTGAGCGGCTCAATGGTGTCAGGATATTGGGCTCTACCGGCCGCCTGCGAGGTGGAATGAATTTGAAAATGCTGGCCGGGCAGGAAAGATAGATACGTGTCGAGTCCGCTGAGAGACCAATGCTCGCTGGACAGAGGTAATAGAAAGGTAGATACATGCTGTGTCCGCTGGGAGACCAATGCTCGCTGGACGGAAGAGAGTAGAGACAAGTACACAGTACGTCCGCTGGGAGACCAATGCTCGCTGGACGGGAGAGAGTAGAGATAAGTACACAGTACGTCCGCTGGGAGACCAATGCTCGCTGGACGGGAGAGAGTAGAGATAGATGCATGCAACGTCCGCTGGGAGACCAATGCTCGCTGGACGGGAGAGAGTAGAGATAAGTACACAGTACGTCCGCTGGGAGACCAATGCTCGCTGGACGGAAGAGAGTAGAGATAGATGCATGCAACGTCCGCTGGGAGACCAATACTCGCTGGACGGGAGAGAGTAGAGATAAGTACACAGTATGTCCGCCGGGAGACCAATGCTCGCTGGACGGAAGTGGGTAGAGATAAGTACACAGTACGTCCGCTGGGAGACCAATGCTCGCTGGACGAATGAGAGTAGAGATATAAGTACACAGTACATCCGCTGGGAGACCAATGCTCGCTGGACGGAAGAGAGTAGAGATAGATGCATGCAACGTCCGCTGGGAGACCAATGCTCGCTGGACGGGAGAGAGTAGAGATAAGTACACAGTACGTCCGCTGGGAGACCAATGCTCGCTGGACGGAAGAGGGTAGAGATAAGTACACAGTACGTCCGCTGGGAGACCAATGCTCGCTGGACGAATGAGAGTAGAGATATAAGTACACAGTAGGTCCGCTGGGAGACCAATGCTCGCTGGACGGAAGAGAGTAGAGATAGATGCATGCAACGTCCGCTGGGAGACCAATGCTCGCTGGAGGGGAGAGAGTAGAGATAAGTACACAGTACATCCGCTGGGAGGCCAATGCTCGCTGGACGGGGGAGAGTAGAGATATAAGTACACAATACATCCGCTGGGAGACCAATGCTCGCTGGATAGAAAAGAGTAGAGATAGATGCATGAAACGTCCGCTGGGAGACCAATGCTTGCTGGACAGAGAAAGAAGAAACATAGATGCATGCAACGTCCGCTGGGAGACCAATGCTCGCTGGACAGAGAAAGAAGAAACCGATGCATGCTACGTCCGCTGGGAGACCAATGCTCGCTGGACAGATAGAGGCATCAAGTAGGGGTTTTAACAGGAATATTAATTCTGAATAGTGAGGTATTGGAGAAAAGACATCACTGCTGCGGCAGTGGAGAAACTTACCTGGAGAAATTGAGCTCCTGTGGGAGCAGAGGAGACATCACTGCTGCGGCAGTGGAGAAAATAGCCAGAGAAACAGAGCTCCTGCGGGAGCAGAATAGACATCACTGCTGTGGCAGTGGAGAAAATAGCCAGAGAAACAGAGCTCCTGCGGGAGCAGAGGAGACATCACTGCTGTGGCAGTGGAGAAAATAGCCAGAGAAACAGAGCTCCTGCAAGAGCAGATGAGACATCACTGCTGCGGCAGTGGAGAAACTTACCTGGAGAAATTGAGCTCCTGCGGGAGCAGAGTAGACATCACTGCTGCGGCAATGGAGAAAATAGCCAGAGAAACAGAGCTCCCGCGGGAGCAGAGTAGACATCACTGCTGTGGCAGTGGAGAAAATAGCCAGAGAAACAGAGCTCCCGCGGGAGCAGAGTAGACATCACTGCTGTGGCAGTGGAGAAAATAGCCAGAGAAACAGAGCTCCTGCGGGAGCAGAGGAGACATCACTGCTGCGGCAGTGGAGAAAATAGCCAGAGAAACAGAGCTCCTGCGGGAGCAGAGTAGACATCACTGCTGTGGCAGTGGAGAAAATAGCCAGAGAAACAGAGCTCCCGCGGGAGCAGAGTAGACATCACTGCTGTGGCAGTGGAGAAAATAGCCAGAGAAACAGAGCTCCCGCGGGAGCAGAGTAGACATCACTGCTGTGGCAGTGGAGAAAATAGCCAGAGAAACAGAGCTCCTCCGGGAGCAGAGGAGACATCACTGCTGCGGCAGTGGAGAAAATAGCCAGAGAAACAGAGCTCCCGCGGGAGCAGAGTAGACATCACTGCTGTGGCAGTGGAGAAAATAGCCAGAGAAACAGAGCTCCTGCGGGAGCAGAGGAGACATCACTGCTGCGGCAGTGGAGAAAATAACCAGAGAAACAGAGCTCCTGCGGGAGCAGAGGAGACATCACTGCTGCGGCAGTGGAGAAACTTACCTTGAGATATTGAGCTCCTGTGGTGTGAGGCTGATAGAAGGGAGGAGGAGTTTGGGGCCTGGCAGACCGATGCTCATCTTCTTGCGCATTAATCAAGACGCGAGGAAGAGGAGGTGAGAGATTAAATCCTTGCAGGATTATGCGTATCTGAGGTTTAAGTGGCCGAGCAAAGATAGCAGTTCTCGTTTAGAACAGTTTAGACTGTCTGGGAAGGTGGACGAGATCAGAAATCCTATTGATTATTAAATGTTTGAATTTTTTTTTTTTTTTTTTTTTTTTTTTTCAAAGTGATAACATGCGCTTACATGATGAGAAGACTAAAACGTTTTAGAACCTGTGTATATTCCCCTCTGACACATCGGTTTGATTCAGTAATCATTCCCAGGTAGCAAACAGACGTTGGGCCAACGTCTGTTTGCTACCTGGGTTGTTTGATGTTGGATTATCGTCAAACAGCAAAGTACCGTCTGATTTAGATGATTGTTTGTTCATTTATCCGTTGCTGGTTTTGAGTGGCACACGCATATTCATTCAGTCGTTAAGTAATTCGAAAATCTTTCTAAGTTGCGTAGGAACCCTCAACATGACCGTTTATTTTAATTATTTATATGGCCATGGGTCACATTCCCTGCCGATTTGTTCGTTCTGAATCAGAAAAAAAAAACAATAGTGAAGCTATGGGTTTAAATTACTTTAAAAATTAAATAAATTTAAAAAAACAAAAAACATTTACGCTATAACTTTAAGTTTCTAAGCGATTTTTGTAGATACATTGCAGGACAGTGTTAACAATAGGTTCTTAATGATTCTGTGTGCAATCTGCACGTAATGTGCGACATACTGTTTACGTGTGAGTTTACGCCACAAGAAGCATCGCGTTAATGACGATAAATCATTTGTACAGAAATGGTTTAAAATGAGTGTTCCCCCGATCAAAACATGAGTATCCAGATAGCATAACTGGCTCGTGATTCAACAACTGAAGCGATGCGAAGTTCAACCAGGGACGGAAAACGAAAAAGTTTTTGAGCTGAGCACTCGCGAAGTTGACCTGGCAGATGTTGCGAGTGTGGACTGGCCGGCGGCCGCGACTGAATCTGCAGCGCGGCTTACTTAGGGCCTGCTGCGGCAGCCTGACGCTGGAGGAAGGCCCGTTCCTTCGCGTGAAGAGGGCGGCATTGCCTTATCCATTTCTCTATGGCAGGAATTATTGATTGGATGGTCCAGTTTAAAGATTGCGGATGTTGCGCCCGTGGTGGCGAGGACCTGTTTGTTTGGCCTGACGCCCGCGAGATAACACCAGAGGATTGCGGCAAAGATTCCTGATTCTGATGGACGAAAGATTCTTCATTGAAAGGGAAGAGCTCGATTCGGACATGTTAGGAAGTTACTGCGGGGCCAAATGCTGA